TCTCTCTCTCTCTCTCTCTCTCTCTCTCTCTCTCTCTCTCTCTCTCTCTCTCTCTCTCTCTCTCTCTCTCTCTCTCCACACATCCCCTGGCTGCCTCCCCCGCCCGACAGCATTGGCCAAATGCTTCCCGCAAGAAATACGGAGGCCGCTTTTCATGCTGTACAAATTATGAACATGTAAATGTCCCTGCATACTAAAACTGTCCCGAGTATGACCTGTGAAGCCGCGTGTTGGAAAAAGGAACATTCCAAAAAAAAAAAAAAAAAAAAAAAGGTGCTTTTCATGCTGTACAAAATTACTACAAATTATGAACATGTAAAAGTCCCTGCATACTACAGATGTCCCGAGCATGACCTGTGCGGCCGTGTGTTGGAAAAAGGTAAATTCCAAAAAAAAAAAAAAAAAAAAAAAAAAGGTGCATTCTATTTATGCCAGCAGGATTCGTACTGACATTTGACCTTCGGATGAACAGTCAAATGTGTGCTGTGCAAATTATGAACATGTGAATATCTCCGCATGCTAAAAGTGTCACGGGCATGACCTGCGCACCCGTGTGTTGGAAAAAGCTAACTTCTATTTAGTATTTAATATGCCATCAGGATTCGTACTGACGATCTTCGGATGAAGAATCAAATGCGTGCTGTGCAAATTATGAACATTGTGAATATCCCCCAACGGCATGCTAAAGGTGTCACGAACATGACCTGAACATTCTATTTATGCCAGCAGGGTTCGTACTGACGATCATCAGATGAACAGTCAAACATGATCCGTTTAGCATCAGAGCAGGTGCCTACATACAGCTACGAGGAGATTCCAAAATTCTCACACCCATACATTTCAGTTCTCAGTGAAAGAGAAAGCAATCTCTGGATGGAAGTATTGGCCTCGCTCCGCCGCTCTACATTCGACACGTATCTGGACTGCAGCATGCACAAGATTCATTCAGACTGACTCAACATTTTTCAACCTCAACCTATCGCGTGCAGTGTCACCTAGCAATACATTTCGCATGTTGTGCAGTGGATCTAGGGACCTATCAGTTGTCCATTGAGCAATCGCGGCATGCAATAAAGCTTGGCAGCTTTCGAGAAATCTACAGAATTGACAGTCATAATGGTGTGACAAATTGTACAGCAAATGAGACAATTCATCACCGAGGCAAGTCGAATATCCTGCATTCGATTAAAATCTTACTACGGATCCTTCCTGTTGTTGTTTCGTTTGCAACTTATCTTTTAGTTCGGTCCATCGCAGCGATGCGACATCCTGTGTGCAGTGTCAGCATGCTCTAAGCCGAGATACTGCTCGCAATCATCGTCAGTCTGTGTGCGTTTCCCAAAGCAGCTCAGCACGATATCTGTATCTTGCAGGTAGAGTGGTGCACTCCGCTCCATGCAAGCGAACTTCCACTTCGAGAAATCATCATAGGGCACCGCAAGTTTCCTCTTGATCCGAGTTTTCACAATAACTAGCGTCTCCTTCTCCCTGACTGCAAGGCAGAATGGCTCGCCAAAGGTCTGAGCCCCCCTGGAGCCCGCTGCAGAATCCTGCCAGACGTGGCACACGTGAATAAGTCTACCTTCTTCGGCATTACCCAGGTCCTTTTCTTCCTCCGGGATCTCCTCCGCTCTCAATATCTGACCCGTGTGATTGCTTATGTTGTCTAACTTCTCTGTCGGGAGGAAGATCTTGCGAATCTTACTCTCAGAAACTTCGAGGATACGAAGTTGTGACGCGGAGTTGGAGAGATCGACCAAATCACTGGTCTCCTTGATTAGCTCGCCAACAGTGCTTTCCTTTGGAAGGCGGATGTTCCGCACACATACCTCCTCCACCCTGCTGTTGTAAAACCTGACCTCCAGCGTCTTCCATCGTTCCAGCTCGAGAGCACGGGGATTGACTACATCGTAGTACAGGATCTCGGACATTCTATTGTGATGAGCCAGCATGTCCGCGAGACTTTCCCCGCCTTCATGCTTGATGGGTCGACTCCTCGGCGCCTGGGAAAAGCAGTTATGAGCAGTGAGGTGGATCTTCCCTGGATCATCGACTCCAACATGTCTTGCCACCCGCTGTACGACGTCATCGTAGGTGTGCTGCCTCGACATCTCCAGCACGAAATGCGGCGTACTATTGGGCTCTGACAACCGATGGAAGCGAACCACCTGCCTGTTCCTAACGTAGTCAAGGTAAGAAGGGACGTCCGGATACCGGTACTTGATGATGTCCGTCTCAGCAATAGCCCTCTGGACACAGACAATGTCGCCGTCTTCCAGCCCACTACTTGAGAAGGTGGCTGTCTTGTCGATTGGAATGCACATTACTGTTGGATCGAATTTGATCTCCTCGTACAAGATCACCTCCTCGTTCGGTTTGAAGACCCCCAGCTGCTTAATCTGCACCATGACATCACAAGGCTTGGTTTCACCTTTCACCAACATCTTCCCTACGTACCTCAACTCCTCCTCCTCCTCCTCCTCCTCCTCCTCGCCCTCTTCCTCCTCCTCCTCCTCCTCCCCCGATGCTGCGGCAGCCGGACTGTACTTCTTGAAGAAGATTAAGATGTCGTCTTTGCCAGTGGGCCTATTATGGATCGGACCGGAAACACCCTCTGGGTTTTCCGGGACTTTTTCAAGGAAAAGGTTGATGCCCGCGTTGGGTCCTCTGGTCGATGCTCGCTCGTCAATGAGCCGCTTTACGATCTGCATCTCCTCGTCCGGCGTCAGTGGTCTGCTCAATCGATAGGTATGGTTTTTCCGCTTCTCCCATAACCAGAACCGTTGGCACTGAATAGGAATGTGGAATATAGCGGCGCATTGGTCCTTGACTGTCTGAAAGGAGGAGTGACTTCCTATCACAAACCAACCCACCTTTTCAAAATCCACGAGATCAAAGAGGATGTCCCAGCCGATTTGTTCGCGGAAATCCTCCTCCCTTGCCACCTTCACAATAGCGTACCAGTCGGCCACCTTCTGCTGCACTCCCCCCCCGCTCTGACAACGCTTTGCGATTCGGGTGGTGTCATCAACCTTACACATAACTTTGCCCTTGTCTTCTTCGCGGACGTAAACCAGCACGTACGCATTCGAACTCGTAGTCTTGGGGGTGGTCACCATCTCCTCCTCCCCTCCGTACTGTTCTTCCACCGCTCTCCTGGCATCCTCCTTCCTCACACCTTCATCATCGGACTTGTACCATTGCTCCAACAACATCGGTCGAATGAACACCTGGCATCGGCCGTTGTTGATGCCACCACTGTGAGCCAGAACGCTATACAGCGTGTAAAGGTTTCGCACACTCCTGTCTCTGTCAGAGGCGAGGTACTTTCCGCCATCACGATCGAGGTCCAGCTGTACCGGGAACTCGTATCTGTCGTTTACCTTCACCATGTTGTCGTGCTCGACATCATACTCAAACCGTTTCAAGTGCAGACACAAAACCGTCGGGAAAGTCTCAAACCATATCCGACGATTCCCCTTCCTCCTCCCTTCCCCGACACCGGCGCCATTTCCGCCCCCTGGCCGCGGATGTCGTCGACGCTTCCCGCCCCCCTCCAATCTCTCCCCGGCGCTGCAGTACTTGTCAAACGACTCGTAGACGTCCTTACAGCCCCGGACATCCAACTCCAAGTCATAGAACGAGATCCTCCTTCGCTTTTCTTTGACGGCCACATCATCAACAAAGTCCGCGCAACTGGACAGAACATAATGACCTTGGAACAAGTCCTGAATGGTTCCTGCCACTCCTGTCCACCTCATCGCCCTCTCTAGCTGCTCGAAGATGATGAGAAGGAATTTCCTGCCTTCGTAAGGCAGGCAGAAAGAAGTTGCAGCCCACGAATCCCAGTCGGAAGAGGTGGCAAAATCGTCAGTCTGTACACTGGCATCGCTGTTCTGCATCTTGTGAAACAGACATTGAAGCGCAAAGGGCATGGCAGTAGTTGAAGCAACTTTCTTCTCACACTCCGTCATCGACATGTGATAAACAGCCTTCCGCAAGTAGGGTAGGTGATAAAGAGTCTGCAGAACCGCGTTCATGAAGGAACTGGCGGCGGTGTATTTGCTGCGCAACGCAACAAACCCTGTTGCCTTTCGCGAGTCATCAACCTGGGCATTTCGCGAGTCATTCTGGGCCTTGACCACATCCCCGCCAACCGAGACCTCGGCTTCAATCACCACGGTACCGTCAACCAAGAACCCTTTCGAAGGGTCAACCAAATCCTTAAGAGGCATGAATTCTCTAAAACCCCAATCGGCCTCCCCTTTGTGAAACTTATGACTTGAGCTGTTCTCTATTGAAAGACTAGGGTCACGCTGATTAACAGCACGTAGGGTAAAATCTGCATTGCGACTCCAGCCAACCTCTAACCACTCAGAATATGGCACGTCAACATAAACTGCCAATTTTTGGACGGATTCGTAACTGTTGCCCTTTGGAAACAACAAGAGACGCCAGCTATGACCTCCAGCAGCAAACGTGTGAGAATAGAGTTTTCTGACAGTCAACTTAGTAAAATTCTCTATCACCCACCTAAAACTGACACTCTGCGAGGGTTGAAACCCCTCCATCGCCGCTTTTGTTGCAGTCATACTCCTCTCTTTCCCTTCCTCCTCTCTGCTATCTTCCTCCTCTCTTCCCCCTTCCTTTTTTCTCTTCCCTAACCTGACCTCTGCCCTTGTTTGGATCCGTCCTCTTTGAAGCTCTCTACTTGCACACCTGCATCCGCTCCCCTTCCACACTTCACTTCACAGACCTCTCTGTTATCTTCCTCCTCTCTTTCCCCTTCCTTTTTACTCTTACCTAACGTCACCTCTGCCCTTGTTAGCTTGGGATCCATCCTCTTCAAAGCTCTCTACTCGCACACCTGCATCCGCTCCCCCTCTACACTTCAGTGACTTCACTTCGCTCGCCTCGATACTTCCGAGTCTGTGCCCTTTCCTTCGCTTCCTGGCCTTCCTCTCTCTCTCTCTGTTTTCTCTCTTCCCTCTGTGCCTTTGTTGGTTCTCCCTCCTAACTCTCCAGCGATGGTCGCTGACCCGTACGCACTGCTGCCCTACCTGTGGGGGCATGTCTCATAGTATCAGCACCTTCCCCGAGCAGATTGCATGGTGATTATGCTTATGGCGGCCACTTGCAGTTCTTCTTCGAAGATGTTTAACTGTCAATCCCATTAATCAAATTAGATCATTTTGGCAAATTTGTTGAAAATATTTTTTTTCCTTTTCCTGCAACAATAAAATTATCAAAAACTTGAAAAAAGCAATCAGATGTGCATGTTTTGAATCGGCACTTTTTATTGTCATTATTAATAGCATCCAACCATCCGGACAACCAAAGATTTGCACCTGCATTTAAAGCAGGGCTTTGGTCAGAGGAAAGTAAAATATCAAACCCATGAAGTGTTTTTCCATGTGTAGCCTGTATCCATTGTGCAAAGACAGTTTCAATCGAAATTTTGTTTTTTTCTCAGACAACGGTGCAGGTCTGAGTACTCCGGACACAAAAGAGGGAAAGAACTGTTGGAAGTCATGGGGGCCTTGGTATGCTCCTTCGGGGTATGGTCCCACCCCCCCTAAAGCAAAACTGGGTAGTGCTCCAATCCTTTACGGGGGTAGACTGTGAGGACCCCGGCCTCGAAATTATAAATTGGTAATATAAGCCTTGGGCACTGGGACCGTGTTTGTTTAAAAAAAAAAGAAAAAGAAAAAAAAAAGGTTTTTTTTTTTTTTTTTCTGGAGCACCACAAGATTGCATTCCATTATTCTGGACAAAGACAAAGCACTTTGTCACCCCTTTTTCAGACGGGCCCACCAGGTGCATCACCTTTTCAAAGGGCCATGCAAAAGATGATGCAGAGCAGCGACTTATAGGTCTCCTCACCGAACACCCGGGAGGCGTCTCGTCACTGCAGCAATGCACACAAGTGGGGTAGACATGCTTATACTCCTTTCAGGCAACTAAAAGAAATGGCTATCATAATGGTGAAATTGGTTTACGCACCACACTAAGGATGTGGTGGAGTGCTCCAGGCTAGGAAATGTTAAGGCCACAGTTCCAACAATGATACTGCTGAGATAATGTATCAAAGGGACGCTGGACCCGCCGACCTGTCGGACCCGGTTTCCAGCAGGTGATGCTCCCCACCAGTAGATGGAGCAGCCCGACTGGCAAAGCCTCAATTCCGGTGGTTCTCTTACCACCTCCGGGATAGAGACCTTGCCCAACGGGGCTTTGTTAAAAAAAAAAAAAAAAAAAAAAGGGAAAATTTTCGAAATGCCCCTGAAGTTTGCGTTTATTTGCGATTCGCCCCTCCGACGGCGGACTTACCCTGATTTGCCCCTGGGGCCTCTGAACTTTCGAAAAGGCCCCTGTCATTCAGGGGCACAACTTTTCGGAATGCCCCTACCAGTAGGCCGGTCCCATTTCCCGTGGTGGCTGTCCATTTTGCCCTTCTGCATTGGATGCGTCTTCCTGGGAATCTGGGATGCCCTCCAGCGGGGAGGCCCTC